TTGTAACTTTATTTAGTACCCTGCAACTTTTCTGTAATTGTTGATTATTTCTAATGATTCTTTAGGGCTTTCTATATATAAAATCATGTCGTCTGCACACAGCCAGGGTTTCACATCTTCATTGCCTATTTGGATTCCTTTTATTCCTTTCTCTTGTCCGATTGCTCTGTCCAAAGCCTCCAGTAGTATGTTGAATAAGAGTGGTCAGAGTGGGCACCCTTGTCTTGTCCCTGTTCTCAGAGGGATGGTGTTCAGTTTTCCCCCATTGAGTATGATGTTGGCTGTTGGTTTGTTATATATGGCCTTTATCATGTTGAACTGCTTTGCTTCTATCCCCATTTTGTTGAGAGTTTTTATCATAAATGGATGTTGGATATTGTCAAATGCTTTCTCTGCATTTATTGAGATGATCATGTGATTTTTTACTCTTTTTTTAATGTGGTAGCACAATGATTTGTGGATGTTGAACCCTTCCTGTGTCCCTGGTACAAATCCCAATCTATCATGGTGTAAGATTCTCTTAATGTATTGCTGTATTCGGGATGCCCATATTTTGTTGAGAATTTTTGCATCTATGTTTATCAGTGACATTAGCCTGCAATTTTCCTTCCTTGTGTTGTCCTTGTCTGGCTTTGGTATGAGGGTGTAGAAAAAAAGTTATAATATCTATACATTGGAGACACCTATGAAAATCAAACAACTCACCAAAATGGCCAAAGCTCTTACCTTAAATACCATCCTCAGCTAAAGACCAAAGAAGATTTTGGGGTTTGGGAGAGTTGGAGACTTCACAGGGAAGGAAGGCGAGTCACAGGTAGGTGAAAAGGAGCAAGCAATTGAAAAAAGTCATTTTTTGGGGCTACACAGAAACAGAAGAACACAGAAGGCAGCCCACCAAACAAGTTTCTCAGTATCTACCACCTAGTTCATGTTATGCTAAGGTGATAGCCCACTTTCTGAGGCAGATTTTTCTATCTGAATTATTTTAGGTACTTGAAGGGGAGGTAATAAGAAAACATTTTTGAGCATTTTGTTTAAAAAAAAAATCAATGTAAAATCATCCTCATGTTAAAGACACATTTTGGGATGGCAAATTTTGTTCCCCTTTAGTAAACTATTTGATGTTCAGACAAGGACAAAAGTATCTAACGATGCATTTCTCAGAACATAGCCACAGTGTTAGGTGGATCATGACTGTATTAGTCCTGTAGGTCCCTGAGTCTGTATTGACTTCAGTTTTTTTCTCTTTTTCAGCTTAAGTATACTCTATTGCTTTATCTTCATGTTCACTGATTCCTTCATCCTTTCCATTCTACTATTTAAACCATTTAACTATTTATTTTTATTTTGATCTTATATTTTTCAGTTCTAAAATTTTAATTTCATTTTTATTTCTTTTTTGAGGTGACATTGGTTTATAACATTATATAAATGTTAGGTGTACATTCACTATATTTAAAATTGTGTATAGACTACATCATATTCGCCCCCAAAAGTCCAGTTGCATCATCATAGGAAATGTATTCCTTTACCCCCTTTGCTCTCTCAACCTGGCTTCCCCTCTGGTAACTATCAATCTATTCTCTGTATCTATGTATTTACTTTTTAATGTTTTCTTATCCTACACAAATGAATTAAGTCGTGTGCTATTTGTCTTTATCTGATATTTCACTTAGCATAATATCTTCAAGGTCCATCCATGCTGTTGAAAATGGCAAGATTCCATCAAATGGGATTTATTCCAGGGGTGTAAGGATGGTTCAGCATTCATAAATCAACCAACATGATAAACTACATTAACAAAATGAAGAATAAAAATTTTACAGTCATCTAAATAGATGCAAAAAAATAATTTGACCAGATTCAGCATTGATTTATAGAATCTCTCAATTAAATGGGCATAGAATAAAAATACTTGAGCAAAGTAAAAGCTGTATATGACAAAACCACAGCTAACATCATACTCAAGGGTGAAAAACTGAAAGCTAGCCCCCTAAGAATAGGAAAAAAAAGGATGACCACTCTCACCACTCTTATTCAACATAGTATTGGAAGTCTTAGCTAGAGCAATTAAATTTAAAAAATGTATCCAAATTGGAAAGAAAGATGTACAAGTATCACCATTTGAAAATAATATGATTTTATATATAGAAAATCCTAAGGAATCCACCAGAAAAACTATTAGAAATAATAAACAAAGAAAGTAAAGCTGCAGGGTTAAAAATCAACATAGAAAAATCAGTTACATTTCTATGCACTAACAACAAACTAGAAGAAAGAGAAATTAAGAATGTAACTCCATTTATAACTGCAAACAAAGGAATAAAATATCTAAAAAGAAATGTAACCAAGTAAGTGAAAGACATTCACACTGGAAACTATAAAATATTGTTGAAAGAAATTGAAGACAGAAAGAAATGGAAATATGTTTTTTGCTCATGGACTAGAAAAATTAACAAAATTAAAATGTCCATATTACCTAAAGCAATCTACAGATTCAATGCAATCCCTATCAAAATCCCTATGAATTATTTTTTTAAAGATTGGCACCTGAACTAGCAACTGTTGTCAATCTTTTTTTTCTGCTCTTTCTCCCCAAATCCCCCCAGTATATAGCTGTATACTTTTTAGTTGTGGTCCCTCTAGTTGTGGTACATGGGAGGCCACCTCAACATGGGTTGATGAGCGGTGCCAAAAACATTTATGGGAAGCTAATTTTTGACAATGGAACCAAGAACATACAATAAGGAAATAAATGTCTTTTCAATAAATGGTGTTGGAAAAACTGCAGAGTTATATGCAAAAGAATGAAACCAGACTGCTATTTTATGCCATGCACTAAAATTAACTCAAAATGGAAGAAAGAATTGAAAGTAAAACCGTAAAACTCCTAGAAGAAAATATGAGCAACATGCTCTTTGACAACAGTCTTCACAATATCTTTTTGTACATATCTCCTCAATCAAGGGAAGCAAAAGAAAAAGTAAACAAATGGGACTACGTCAAACTAAAAATCTTCTTCAGAAGAAAGGAAACCATCAAGAAAATGAAAAGGCCACCTAGCAATTAGAAGGTACTTGCAAATCATACATCCATTAAGGGGTTAATATTGAAAATATACAAAGAACTCATACCACTCAACAACAGCAACAACAATAAAACCCTTTTAACAAAATGGCCAGAGAGACTAAACATTTTTCTAAAGAAAATATATGGATGGTCAACAGTCGCATGAATAGATGTTCCATATCACTAATGATCAGGGAATTGAAAATCAAAACCACAATGAGATATCACCTCACATCTATCAGAACAGCTACTGTCAAAAAGACAAGAAATAATAAGTGCTACAGAGTGTGTGGAGAAAAGAGAACCCTCACACACTGCTGGTGGGAACGTAAATTGGTGTAGAAACTATGGAAAACAATATGGAGTTTCCTCCAAAAATTAAAAATAGAAATACCATATGATCTAGCTATTCCACTCCTGGGTATTTTTCCAAAGGGCAAAATAATGCTCATTTGAAAATATGTATACACCTTTATAATTATTGCAGCATCATGTACAATAGCCAAAACTTGGAAACAACCTATGTGCCCATTGCCAGGTGAAAGCATGAACAAGATGTAGTGTACATACATCATGGAATACTACTGAGTCATAAAAAGATAGTTGTTTTTCTGTGTTCTATTTGTTTACAGAGACGTTTTCTTTATTGGTTGATGATTTTTTTTTTTATTCCAACTGTTTGGAATTGCTCACTGAGTCAATTTTATGATAGGTGTTTTAAAATCCTTGTCAAATAAATCCAACATTTGTGTTATCTCAGTGTCAACATCTGTGAATTGTGCTTGTCAAGTTGTGATTTTCCTGTTTCTTTTTACAAGTGATTTTCAAATGCCACCTGGGCATTTGGGGTATTATGCTTTGAGACTTTGGATCTTGTTTAAATCTTGTTTTACTAAGTTTCTTCTGACATCACACAGACACACAGGTGGAGGGAGAGCGGCATTAAATTGTTACTGCATGGTGGGATGGAAGTCCAGGATTTCCATTTGGCTTCCTTTGATACCTTGGGAAAGGGGAACACCACTAATATTACCCTAAATGATCTTTACTTACAACTACCCTGCAGGGACAAAAATGTATGTTAATGAGGGATGCTAATATCTGTGTCTTTCTTAGTGTAATTTTTTATGTTGTGATATTAAAGTCATGTTAGTCAAATAGCATGAGTTAGGACATGCATTCTGCTTTTCTATTTTCTGAAATAGTTTGTCATATTAATAACGCAATATTACTAGTGCAATAGTGAATATTAGTAATTTTATTTTTCCCTTAAATATTTCCATGGGTACACCACTAAAATCATCCAGAACTTGATTTTCTGTTGTTGTTAAAACATGTTTGCATTAGTTGCATGTTCATTGTCATTCATTTTTGTTTGATGCTTTCTTTTACTTTTTTTTGTGGTCAAGTATACAATCTGATTTTTTTTTTTTTGCCATTGAAAAGAGAGTTTATTACTCACCATTCCTGAGAGAAGGGACACGCCACACCTCGGGGGCCACGTGGGGAAGCACAAGGGTTGGTCGGGAGGTGGAGGAGGGGATATGGGCAGGAGCTTTACCATGGTTTCCATGGGAGGAACGGGCGAGGCAGGGTAGACAGGCTTAGGGTTGGCTAGTTTGAATAATTTCAGGGGGGTCTGGGGCAGAGGGGCTGTCCCCAGTGTCTGGCACGTGGCCCTGGGTTGGACTGTCACCCAGAGTGTGAAAGCCCAACAAAGGAGGTGGCTGGGATGAGCTCTGCATTGATTGGTTGAAAAGCACGACTGGGGGCTAGTTGTTGACTATCCCCAGGGATTGGCTCATCCTGGGAGGGGCAGGCCCTCCAGCATCAGCAAGGCCCCAGAGTCAAAGCACCAGAAGAGAGAAAATAGAAGATGCGGTTTATACAGTCCTAGACCTTTAGAAACTTCTCTCTTGTTATGGATGCTCGGCTGAGCCAATGGCAACCTCTGTCAACTTGTGTCTGCTCCTGGCATCTGGCCGCCTGGACTATTTGCCGGAGCTGGATCAGCTGGGGTCTGCTGAGGGCGTCAGACAGCAGACTCATGTAGGATCAGAATGTCCGTCTCATCACCCCGCCATCATCCTCTAGGAGCTCTGGACGGTCCTGTGCTGGAAGCACCAGTGGGCTCCTGGGGAGGCGCTCTTGTTATGGAAGCAGGTGCCCTCTCTAAACGTGTACATCTGTCATGTGTTGGGGACAGTCTTTCCAGGTGGCCGAGCTCCAGGAGGGGTGGGACGTTTCCCATGAGGCAGAGGGTCTGAGGCTGGGGGGCAGCATGCACTTTGCTAACTCATTGGGGGTGGGAGAAAAACATTGAAAAGAATACGTCTACCTTTTAGTTCAACTTTTGTTGGAAGGTACTTTCTGATACAAGACTAGGATAGTCACAGTTTCCATCCTCACGAGCAACGTGGAGAGGCAGAAGGGCTTTTATTACCAGTTCCATCCCGAGGTGAACCTGAAGCATGGCGAGGTCTGTGCATCTGCCAGGCAGAGTGGGACGTCCCACCCTCAGCGCTCTCTTCGCCATGCAGCCCCCCACGGAACGAAAAGATGAGGACTCGAGCCTTAGTCCAAATGGTCTGGTTTTCAATGCAAAACACCTCCTGGCTCCAAAAGGAGATAATTTTGCAGGGACTTCGGCAATGGGAGCAGGGGTATGAAGTAAAAGCAATTTTTGCCAAACAGTTTCCAGATGGCACAGCGGCAGAGATGCTGCAGACAGCGCGGGGTGTGGGCCAACGCAAAGAAGGACTTGTAGAAAGACTGGTGCATCTCAAACACTTCTTCAGTAATCGCCTCCTTCCAGGACTCCAACACGCGGAGCTGAGGGTAAGAGTTGAAAAGGACCTCGACGACTTCAGGCGCGGATGCGCAGGTCTTCAGCACCTTCGGGAAGGCGTCGGGCCACGCGTCGGGCCACACGTCGGGGAGCCGTGCTTGAGCAGCGCCTGCAGGGTGTGCGGCGCCGCGGCCCGCGGCGCGCAGGCAGCAGTCTGCTACAATCTGTTTTGTAAAATTCCAGTTTACTGGAATAAGTAAGCGGATATAGAAAAGTCACATAATACTGAGTAAATTGAATATGTTTTGTTTTTATATGCAATTAATTAAATATTTTAAATGAAATTTTTGATAAAATAAAAATATTCTGAAAACATAGAAATAAATGTAAGAAAATCTATGCTAGATGTTTATACTCAAACCCACAAAATAGAGTTTAGAGATCCTAAAAAAAATAACGTACATATGCATAATGTATTGACTGAAACATGACACATTTCAACATTATAAATCTCCCTCAATTGATATATGGACTAACATAAACATTGAAGTTATTACACTTTGAAATACATAGGATATTGTTTTTGTATCCTTAAAGAACACAATCATTTCTTAGCACACATACAAAAAGCCACTGACGATAATATTTAAAATGATAAGTTGTACTTCATCAAAATTAAAACCTCTGTTCAGCAAGATGCACTAGTGGGGAAACAAATAGGCAAGACGCAGATTAGGAGAAAATATTTAAAAAACATATTCTGACGTGCTTTGGTCTAGAATACATAATAATGTTTTACAATTCAATGATATAAATCCAGAGAAAATTTGGAAAAAGACTTGAAGATATGCTTCATAACAGAAGATATATGAAAGACCAATCAGTACGTAATCAACTTCATCATTCTTTAGGGAAGTGCAAATTAAAAAATGGTGTAGAGCTATACAACTCTAGAAAGGTTAAAACTTAAAATATTGGCAACATCAAATAATGGTGAGTGTGGGGAGCAATATGAGCTCTCAAGCCTTGTAGATAAAGGTAAAATGTGCAACTCACATGGTGGGAAGCTGCTCAGTGCTATCACCTGCAATTGCTGCTGGGTATTTACTCATGTGAAATGAAAATATATTTCCAAAAAAAGATGTATAACAATGTATATAGAAACTTTATATTGGTAAAAACTAGAAACCACTCAAATGTGTTTAGAGAAGAGGTAAATATTGTAAAATAGTCATACAATGAAATACTCTTATGTAATAAAAACAATAATCTATAGATACATGTGACAACATGCATATATCTTCAAAAATTACATCTAGCAAAAGAAGGCAGACACAAAAAGTACAAACTGCATGTTTATACTTTATATACATATAATGTCTACACACACACACAGACACACACACACACATATTCCAAAACAAGCCAACTAATTCAGGATGACTAAAATAGGAAGAATATTGTCTTGTTTGTAGGACTGAGGGAACTTTCTAGAATGGGGCACAAGGGATCTTTCTGTGGTCGTTGATATATTCTATATTTTATCAGATTGTTAGTTACCTGAATATAAACATTTTTCAAAATTAGTGAAATCACTTAATACTTGGGTATTTTACATCACCAAAGTTATTACAATATTATTGACTGTATTTCCTACGTTGTACATTACACCCTCGTGACATTTATTTTACAACAGGAAGTTTATATCTCTTAATCTCCTTCACCTATTTTGTCTACCCCAAAACAATATTCCCTTACAATTTATATTTTTTAAGTCCTTCTTTAGCCAAATAAGTTTTGAGGTTAATTAATATTTAAAAACCACTTATAAAATAAGACAATCCAAATATGGCTACCATTCAAAAGCCATAAAATGGAAGCATCAAGATATTAAATAATAAATTTTCATAAAAGATAAATGTTATAATTGGACATTAAATGGACATGCATAACATTGACATAGAATAGGCTATATGATTTTAGTGGTGAATTTTACCTTTAAAAGTACCAATTTCATCCATTACATTAGTACAGATTCTTTGCTTATGAATTGTATTAACCCAGAATACGTTAAATGACTTAGGTTTTGTGTCAGGGTTTGCATTAGGCACAGGCTGTGTGGTGTTCCCTTTCTTCTATCACTAAATTCCAAGACCTATTTGAAAGTTTCTTTCCCCTCACTCCAATTATAAAGCAACACAAGACTAAAAGAGCAACATCTATTTGAATGAGAAAGAGAGCTATAAAAATTAGCACTCAGGAGCCCTGTCAAAGATTAAGCACAGAGTCAGGCGGCACATGCAAAACAATTCCAGAACATGTGACCTTAATAAACAATGCTGTAATAAAATTATAGCACTTAGGCTAAAGGCCTATTCACAGGTCAAGAAATACAACATTGTTTTTAAATAGGTTGCAACAAGAGGAAAATGAATAGCTTTATTAATATGGCGTGGAACAAAATATGATTTACATATGCAGGATTTCAGCATTCAAAACTAAATAACTGAAGAGGTTGAACCCATATCAGGTGATGGATCGTAACTGTAATTATTGTGGTGATCATTTTGTACTGTATATAAATACTGAATCACTATGATATACACTGGAAGCTAATAGGATATTATATGGCAATTATGCTTCATTTAAAAATATAATATTGAAATATGATAGTTTCACAATTATATGAAGTCAACAGTTAAATGAAAATGTCAACAGATACCATAAATGATCCAAGAAAGTTTCAGAAGAGACTATTTTCTACTAAGAAAATAATTGTGAGCTGCTTAAAGTATATATTTTAAGGCAAAATTGAAATGATTTGCTAATAGCAAATGAAAGGAGACAAGCAAGTCTTCAAGGATTCATTTTGCTATTTATTGAGATGGACAACATGAGGAAGAAGTAGTTGTCAAAGTAAAACCAGAACTGGACAGCAGTTAAAGCAATAAAAATAGATTTTATTCAGGACTACTGCAATAGGGGTAAAGATACCTTGGTATCTTTTCAGAACTGGGTTCAAGTTTGAATCTAGCATGGGAAAATGGGAATTTACAGCCAAGGAGCAGGGTGGGGTAAGTGAATGAAAAATTACTAGGAAGAAATATAAGGGAGACTGTAGCTAAACCAATCTATCAGGATTTTTATTGAAAATAGGTCAGAGTGGTCAACATTACCTGGAGGATGGTAAAGGATGAGAAATGCAATCAGATATCAAAGATGATCAGACATTGCGGGTCACGATACTGGTTGAACTGACTTATCAGGGTTCTTGCTAATACTAGACTTTATAAAACAGTACACAGAGGGGCCTAGGAGAAGTTTCAAGAGCATGAAGAAAGTCTGATTAAGGAAATGATCTCTGTCACAGTTCATGTTGTTGAAGCTAGAGTTCAGTTTGAGTAATGTAGTAATGAAATATACTGTAACTTAATAGAAACCAAAATGTCACAACATCCAAATGCAATTCATAAAACTTGATCGAATTTTGTTACAAAAAAATGGTAACCACAAAGAATATTTTTAGGAAAAGTAAGAGAAATTTGAATATTCTCTGGTTACTAGATGTTATCAAGGTGATTTTATTATTTTCAACATATAGGTGATATTTGAAACTATGGGAATAATTAAATTTCTCAAACAGAGAGTGTAAATAGGAAAACATAATAAGACACTAACGAACAGAGGCATTTCAAAACACAAATTTTAAGTGATGGAAGAGGAACCAAAAGAAGAGAATAAGAAAGAACAACCACAAAGGTACGATGGCATTCATAAGGTGGTTAAACAGACTTTTCTAAGGGATGAGAGGGTTCTCAGAAGGGAGAGACAGTGAGCATGGACTGTGAGCATTAAGAATTTTCATCAAAGTTTTTAGCACAGAAGTTACTGTTGATCCCGGGAAGGGCAGTGTCTTCACCTGGGGAGACTGCTCCCCAGACTAGTGACGGTGGAGGGGTAAGGGTGTACAACGAAATGGAAGCAACTGTGTGTGCAAAGAATTACCTTGAGAAATAAATCTGTGAGGAGATGAGAAAAGGTGCTGATGTTAAAGGGCTATGTGTAGTTTTGTTAAATGGATGATTTTACTGTCTAAGTTTGAACACTCGTAAGGAGGATCCAATAGTGAGCAAAACTCAGAATGCAACATACGGAGAAATAACTGGTAGCTGAGATTGAAAAAGAGGGGATCTAGGACAAATGTAGACATATTAACATTCAGTAGGAAAAGAATTGCATTTACTGTAGGAGGGG